TCACAGAGCATGCATCTGGGAGCCAGGTGATCCATGTGTAATCTGGACACAACAGATCACATTACTGCTGTGTCTGGGTTGTCACATAGTATCATACCATGTGATTACTGTGTCTAATCAAAGCAAATACATAGTAAAAAATAGAGACTGACAGCAAGCATCCATTTCCACCGCCCATACCAGCACCCTCATCACTGCTATACACCATACCAGCATCCTGATCACCGCCATAGCCCATACCAGCGTTTTGATCACCCCATATGCCATGCCAGCATCCTGATCACTGTCATAGCCCATACCAGCGTGGTGATCACCCATATGTCAAACCAGCACCCTGATCACCACCATACCAGCGTTCTGATCACCCTGATCATACCAGTGTCTGGATCACCACCATAAAACGTACCAACAGCCTAATCCTCAGCATCCCCCATACCAGTCCTGATCAACGCTATACCAGCATCCTGATCACTGCCATACTGCATGCCAATGTCCTGATCACCACCATACCTCATAACAACATCCTGATCACTGCCATACTTCATACCAGGGTCCTGATCACAGCCATACCGCATGCCAATGTCCTGATCACCACCATACCAGCATCCTGATCAGAGCCATACCAGCATCCGGTATTAGGGTCTCAAATGATCAATTTCAGATATATATCCCATAGTTTGTAATTGCTATAACTTTCACACAGACTAAACAATATACACTGTTTGGGGCTATTTCTACCAAAAAAATTAGCAGAATACATTTTGGCCTAAATTTGTGAAGAAAGATTATTTATTTTAAAAATTTTATAACAAAAATTAAGCAAAAAATGTTTGTTTGTTTTTTCATAATTTTCAAAATTTACTTACATATAAAAAATAAAAAAACGCAGTGGTAAATTTTTTTTTTTTATAAAAATGTAATTTGGGTACAATGTTGCATGACTGTGCAATTGTCATTCAAATTGTGACAGCGCTGAAAGCTGAAAATTGCCCTGGACTGGAAGAGGGTGAAAGTGTTCGAACTTGAAGTGGTTAACTTCACTGAAATTTCAGGCTCATCCCTAAATTAGATGTAGTGGTGCTCCCTTTGATCTTTATCATGTAGACTGGTTTTGGGTATTTGGCATTCATAAAATATGTACACCTACACATGTGCATGAAAGTTACACAACAGACACATTATAAAATGTGATGAGATTCAATTGTTAAGTGCTTATAAAGGTTTACATCAAAGGGCAAAATTATATGGATAGCTTAAACAAAGCAATGATACCATAACAGCCAAATATACGCTCAGCTATGAAACATGAGCTAGCAAGTCTGTGGAATTGCATTTCAGATCAAACTTGTCTGTAGACAAAAATGTAACATCCTGATTTATGTAACACTAAGAATGTTATCAGTGTTCTGTGGTTTACATTTTTGTGGAAAGAACATACACAAAAAACTTGAACGTTATATACAAGGTGTAGGATAAGTTAGTAAAAGTAACTCTTTAGGTGCTGAATATTGACATGGTGAAAGCTTACATATCCTGGCAATAAAAGTGTTGTAACAAAAAAAAACTGTTAAAAATTACAATTTGGGTTTTTTATGAAAAAAAAAGATTTTTAAGAAGTTATATGAAAACAAATAAGGTTTTTACTTTATGGATTATACTTTATACTATAATTATACTATATATAACCACTATACTCTGGGAGTTTTTACTAAAATTGGAGAGTGCAAAATCTGGTGCAACTCTGAATAAAAAAGCTTCTAGGTTTTATTGCCAAAGATTAACTGAACAAGCTGAAGTTAGACACTGATTGGCCACCATGCACTGCTGCACTAGATTCTAAGGGCAACAGTTTTAATAAATCTCCCCTTTATGTCTAAAGTTAAAATTTTTAAATAAAATTCCTCCATTTATATATATATTTATAATAGTTAGAATTTTCTTATCCACTGAGATTTTTACTGGAAAACTCAAAATCACTGTTTTAAAGTCACCTTTATACAGACATGAAAAACCAAGATCTTAACACCTGCTTTCCTGATTACCAAGGGAAACTGTCAGTGGCTGTTTGCAGACTTCCATTTATCTCTAAGATTCAACAAAACACAACATTCTTGGTCTCAGATTTTCATGGCCATGTAATGTATCCCTACATATTACATCAAGGTTATCATCTAATTTATATTCATATGTCCCCCAAAAGTTGTATTCTTTTCCCCTTCTATGCCGCATGCTCTTCCTGAGCCTAAATGGCGCTGCAACCCCACAAAACATTTTTTTTCTTTATTGTCAACAGTCTTCCCTATAGTGTTAACTACTATTGCTTCAGTGAAGTTTTTTATACCATCATCTCTGTTCATACCCAAAGGCAACATTAAAAAAGAAGGCCCAAAACAACATCATTTATTTATACTCCATTACCAAAACACACTTTTTGCTCTGTATTTTTCTCTTACTATGCCTTTATAATGTTTGTTCAGGTAACAAATAACCAAAGTCAGCCCTAATACACTTACTGCCCCCTTCTGTTTCTACTTTTATAGTCTGATATTTTAACTTTTTTAATACAAAAAAATTAAAGAACAAAACGGAAAAAAAAAACAAGTAAAATTTAAAAAACCCTCAATTTTATTTGTAATTATCTTTGAAATGCTTTGTACTAAAACATAAGAAGGGTATTATCATGAAATAAAATGTACAATTTTTTCTACAGTATCGTTTTTTAAAATATAAGTGGTTAAAAAGTGTTTGATTTTTTTTTTACATTTTCTGTGTATAGATTGTTTAGAAAAATATATATTTTTTCAGGTCAACATCACCAAAAGAAAGTCTTGTTTGTCCTGAAAAAGCAGTACATAAATTACTTCATCTTAAGTAAATCGATATTACTTGCAGAAATGTAAAAATTGTTCTGGTCCATATATAGCTAAAAAAAAACTGTTTGAAGAGTCCAACTATTTGAATTTTCACAATGAAGGATTATGGATATTAAACAGTAAGTTATTCTTGGGTTTGGTCATAGCATTTCGTCAGCCAATGGTTGTCAACTTATGAGCTAAAGGGGACCTCAGATGTGGCACATCACATAATGTTCAATATATATAATGCTTGATAGGACTGTCAGAAACTACAGATCCATTGGAGGAAATGTGCATCAGAAATTGTGAGCATGCTATTTGTTTTGCTCAGGATATGCTACAGAACACAATATGAAGCTGGGAACATGTTACATGAGGATAGCAGAGATCAATACTATTGCCTTAATCAATGTTTCCACTGCAGACTGCCTAGATCCGAGAGCTGCATATCATATACCAAATGGCTGCAGGTTGGGCAGGGTGTAATCTAAATCAAGATTAAATGTATGTTAACCTTGGGCCTGGTTCACACCTATGCAGCTCTGCATGCTGTGTTTGCATGGGCACAGCAGCCAATTCACAGCCAGTTCAAATCTGAACACAGTGAGGGAAACTCGCATTCTGTGTGTATTTACATAGTTGATCTGGCTGAAAAAAAAAAGTTCATCCAGTTCAACCATAAAAAAAAAAAAAAAAAAGTTATAATCCTACACCCACAGTTGATCCAGAGGAAGGCAAACAAACCCAGCAATTCTTCCTAATCCCCCAAGAGGCAATCGGATAATTCCTGGATCAACCTTACCTGTAAATGTATATCCAGTTAAATTCTGTGTATCCAAGAAAGAATCCAAGCCTTTTTTAAAGCAATCCACTGAGCTGGCCAAAACCAACTCTTGAGGAAGTCTATTCCACATTTTCACAGCTCTTACTGTGAAGAAACCTTTCCATGTTTGGAGATTAAATTTATTTTCCTCCAGATGGAAAGAGTGCCTCCTTATCCTCCGTGATGACCTCAGTGTGAATAACTCTACACTGAGTTCACTATATGAACCACTGATGTATTTATACATGTTGATTGTATCCCCCCTTAATCTCCTCTTCTCAAGAGAGAATAAATTCAGTTTCTCTAATCTTTCCTCATAGCTGAGCTCCTCCATGCCTCTTATCAGTTTGGTTGGCCTTTTCTGTACTTTCTCCAGTTCCCCAATGTTCTTTTTGTGAATTGGTGCCCAAAATCGAACTGTATATTCCAGATGAGTTATTACTTATGATTTGTACCGGGGTAAAATTATATATCTCTCCCTGGAGTCTATACCTCTTTTAATACAAGAGAGGGTTTTGCTCGCTTTAGAAAATGCAGCTTGGCATTGCATGCCATTATTAAGCTTGTAATATACCAGAACTCCCAGATCCTTCTCCACCATTGATTCCCCCATTAACTTGTTGCCGACCGCAGATAGCCGAATGACGGCTGCACTGCGGCCGGCCAGTTCTGAGTGGACGTCATATGACGTCCCCCCAGAACGCGCTCTCCTGCGCGCCCCAGGGGGCGCGCACCCGGCGATCTCCGTGATCGCTGTGTCCTACGGACACAGCTGATCACGTGATGTGGTAAAAGGCCAATCACAGCGGCCTTTTACCACCTGATCAGCGGTGTCCAATGACACGCTGATCAGAGGGAAATGCAAGTGCCGGTTCTCGGCTGCAGTTTCCTCACGCTGTCAGATCGTGAGGAAAGTACTGCCGAGAACCGGCAGTTGTCAGAGCGGGGATCGGCACCGATCATCAGGGCACTGATGATCAGTGCCCTGATGATCGGTGCCCAGCAGTGCCACCCGCAAGTTCCGCCCACCTGTGCCCTGCAGTGCGCCCACTAGCTCCGCCCACCTGTGCCCAGCAGATCACCCACCTGTGCCCAGCAGTGCACCCACCTGTGCCACTCTGCAATTTCACACACCTGTGCCCAGAAGTGCCACCCACCTGTGCCCACCAGTGCCACCCACCTGTGCCCACCCACCTGTGCCCACCAGTGCCACCCACCTGTGCCCACCCACCAGTGCTGCCCATCAGTGCCACCCACCAGTGCAGCCCAGCAGTGCTGCCAGTCAGTGCCACCAGTCAGTGCCCAGCGGTTGTGCCAGTTAGTGCCGCCAGTCAGTGCCCAGCAGTGATGCCAGTCAGTGCCGTCTATCAGTACCCATCATTAGTGTCACCTATCAGTGCTGCATATTAGTGCCGCCTATCCGTGACACCTCATTAGTGCTGTCTATCAGTGCCGGCTATCCGTGCCACCTCATTAGTACTGCCTATCAGTGCCCTTTAGTGCTGCCTATCAGTGCCCATCAGTGCCGCCTATCAGTGCCCATCAGTGCTGCCTCATCAACGCACATCAGTGAAGGAGAAAAATTACCTGTTTGAAAAATTTTATAATAGAAACAAAGAAACTTTTTTTTTTTTTCAAATTTTTGGCAATTTTTTATTTATAGCGCAAAAAGTAAAGCGCCCAGTGGCGATTAAATACCACCAAAAGAAAGCTCTATTTGTGAGAAAAAAATGATCAAAATTTCATATGGGTACAATGTTGCATGACCGCGCAATTGTCAATCAAAGTGCGGCAGCGCTGAAAGCTGAAAATTGGCCTGGTAAATAAGGGGGTATAAGTGCCTGGTAGGCAAGTGGTAAAACGTCATTTGCCACATAGTCGCCCAATTACACAGTGCATTGATGTTGGCTTGTAAGCTGGAGACATCCTGTAAGGACGTTATTCCACTGCTCAGCTTGGTGTCATCTGCAAAGACTGAAATGGTATTTATAATTTCAGACCCTATATTGTTTATAAATATATTAAAAAGTAAGGGTCCCAACACTGAACCCTGGGGTACACCACTGATGACCCTAGACCATTCAGAGTATGAATCATTAACCACTACTCTCTGAATACGATCTTTTAGCCAGTTTTCTATCCATTTACATAGAGATTTTTTCCAAACTTGTAGACTTTACCTTACACATTAACCGTGTGTGGAGAACTGTGTCAAATGCTTTTGCAAAATCCAAATATACCACGTCCAGCGCCACCCCTCTGTCCAATATACCATGTCCATTGCCACCCCTCTGTCCAATATACCATGTCCACTGCCACCCCTCTGTCTAAGGTTGTGCTCACCTCCTCCTAAAAAGAAATCAGATTTGTTTGACAACGTTTGTTTTTCATGAATCCATGCTGTCTGTTGCTTAAAACATTTTTTTCCAACAAGAACTCATCTATGTGGTCTTTCATTAAACTCTCCAGTATCTTCCCATATATAGAAGTTAAACTAACAGGTTTATAATTACTTGGTAAAGATTGTGACCCTTTTTTAAATATTGGCACCTGTGACGGGAGTGACTTTTGGGGGTGGGGGGACCGCTTGGTCAGCTCATGTCCCCCCCCTCATTATGTTTAACCCACCCTGTGCCTGTTAAGGGGTACAGGGTGTGAATGTGAATGTCCCAGTATTGTGTATAGTGTGTGTCCCTTTGTCCCTGCCATGTGCTCCCCCCCATGGTGCTGTGTCTTCCTGTCCTGCCAACTATTATGGGATGTACTGTTTGTGTATTGGTGTGGGGGTTGGTCAATGTCCTTTGCCACATGGTTGCATCCCATTGTTCTGTGTCTGGTTGGATGGGGAGGGGTGATGAGGTGTTTCCTGCCTATACTGTAGCCCTTCCCACTGAGAGGGTGGGCTGATGATGTATTTCCTGTTCCTGGTTGTGTTTCCCCGCCCTCTGTATAAAACATGTTTTGTGTAAAATAAAGAGTTGTTGGCTTCCTGTTTTAGTAAGAGCTGGGTGTTGTCTATTTTCCTGAGGGATTCCAAGGGTGTGGTCCGTGGATGGTGTTCGGACAGGGGAAGTTGTGCTATAACGGAAAAACTCAGTGCGGTCTGGGTTCCGGTTCCGTTACAGCACCACATTGGCCTTACGCCAATCTAGTGGTACTATGTCAGTTATGCCAGTACTATTCAAAATGCACTGCCTTTGTGATCTGCTGAGGGTGCCAATACATTGTTAACAGCACCCCAAACGCAGATCGCACACACAATGCAATTTATTGCAACACGTTTTTCAAAAGTAGTGCATGCACTCCTTTTTTGTGGTACGGAGTGATTTGCAAACATTTGCATGAATGGGCTGTCAAATCACACTGCTGGGGAATGCACAAAAAGAGCACAGGAATGTGGTCCTAGATCTATTTCTCAGTAAATTTGGCATTATGGTTTAGTGTATACAGTTTACTTAAAATAATATTTTTTTGTAAATCTGCTGCAGGAGGAAATTTTTAGATTTACAAAAATGTATTTGCTTTAGAAAATGATATACAGTGACACATGATTCCAAGCATTCAAAAAGTAGATTTTGTATTTAGATACACTTTCATTCACATAGAAAGCAAATGTTTTCTATGTGCCTTTGCATTGAGCCTGCATTGAATAATGCTGATCAGCACAACTCAACACACCTGCTGTGAACAAAGTCCAAAGAGATATTTTGTAACACTGTCTAAAAAGAATGTTTTATGTTGCTCATAGCAGCTAGATTTAAATCAGTCATACAAATTACAATGTAGAAAAAAAGTGAATGCTATTCAAATGCTGTACACATTTTTTTCTTCTTTTACATGCTCCCCTGCAGGGTAATTGCACAAAAAATTGCACCCATCCCAACCTATAACCAGCCTTAGCAGTAGGGAGCACATGGAAGGGAAATGCACATCACAAACAAAGGATTTCCCAGCAACATGTACCAGTCAGTCTGCAAAACAACCAATTTGGCCCTGTCTAACAGTTTGCAAATACATGTGTAAGCCACAGTCCCACGTCAAGGGTCCTCTGTATACTGTGGACCTACAATATCTCACAGAAGTGAGTACACCCCTCACATTTTTGTAAATATTTTATTATATCTTTTCATGTTACAACACTGAAGATATGACACTTTGCTATAATGTAAAGTAGTGAGTGTACAGCTTGTATAACAGTGTAAATTTGATGTCCCTTCAAAATAACTCAACACACAGCCATTAATGTCTAAACCACTGGCAACAAAAGTGAGTACACCCCTAAGTGAAAATGTCCAAATTGGGCCCAGTTAGCCATATTCCCTCCCCGGTGTCATGTGACTTGTTAGTGTTACAAGGTCTCAGGTGTGAATGGGGAGCAGGTGTGTTAAATTTGGTGCTATCGCTCTCACTCTCTCATACCGGTCACTGGAAGTTCAACGTGGCACCTCATGGCAAAGAACTCTCTGAGGATCTGAAAAAAAGAATTGTTGCTCTACATAAAGATGGCCTAGGCTTTAAGAAGACTGCCAAGACCCTGAAACTGAGCTGCAGCACGGTGTCCAAGACCATACAGAAGTTTAACAGGACAGGTTCCACTCAGAACAGGCCTCGTCATGGTCAACCAAAGAGGTTGAGTACACGTGCTCAGCGTTATATCCAGAGGATGTCTTTGGGAAATAGACGTATGAGTGCTGCTAGCATTGCTGCAGAGGTTGTGAGGGGTAGGGGGTCAGCCTGTCAGTGCTCAGACCATATGCCACACAGTGCATCAAATTGGTCTGCATGGCTGTCTTCCCAGAAGGAAGCCTCTTCTAAAGAAAAGCCACAAGAAAGCTCGCAAACAGTTTGCTGAAGACAAGCAGGCTAAGGACATGATTACTGGAACCATGTCCTGTGGTCTGATGAGACCAAGATAAACTTATTTGGTTCAGATGGTGTCAAGCGTGTGGCGGCAACCAGTTGAGGAGTACAAAGACAAGTGTGTCTTGCCTACAGTCAAGCATTGAGGTGGGAGTGTCATGGTCTGGGGCTGCATGAGTGCTGCCAGCACTGGGGAGCTACAGTTCATTGAGGGAACCATGAATGCCAACATGTACTGTGACATACTGAAGCAGAGGATGATCCCCTCCCATCGGAGGCCCCAAACACACCTCCAAGATGACCACTGCCTTGCTAAAGAAGCTGAGGGTAAAGGTGATGGACTGGCCAAAGATGTCTCCAGACCTAAACCCTATTGAGCATCTGTGGGGCATCCTCAAATGGAAGGTGGAGGTGCTCAAGGTCTCTAACATCCACCAGCACCGTGATGTCATCATGGAGGAGTGGAAGAGGACTTCAGTGGAAACCTGTGAAGCTCTGGTGAGCTCCATGCCCAAGAGGGTTAAGGCAGTCCTGGAAAAAAATGGTGGCCACACAAAATATTGACACTTTGGGCTCAATTTGGACATTTTCACTTGGGGGTGTACTCACTTTTGTTGCCAGCTGTTTAGACATTAATGGCTGTATGTTGAGTTATTTTGAGGGGACAACAAATTTACACTTTTATACAAGCTGTACACTCACTACTTTACACTGTAGCAAAGTGTCATATCTTCGGTGTTGTCACATGAAAAGATATAATAAAATATTTACAAAAATGTGAGGGGTGTACTCACTTCTGTGAGATACTGTAACTCTAAAATTTCCAGAGCCTCCATAGTAGGAGCATATATATTATTTGATAGGTTAAGGGCAGGTGTGCCTGGAGGAGCCCATCCCTCTTTAAAGGTACAGGGATGCACGTGACACCCAGTGTCAGGGCTCCCGGGGTATGACCAGAGGTATGTGACTGACACAGGGAAACGCGGGCTTCAGAAATGTTATAAATATAATTTATTAACACTAACAATACATAAACGCAGTGCAATACTAAACATAACACAGTGCAAACGAACCAAACCAAACCACCCACAGATAACAGTACATACAATGCAAGCGTCGTCAGGCAGGCCGGAATTATCAACAGGAGGTCAGAACGTATGGGGTTAAGCCGGAGAATGGTCAGACAAAGCCAGGGATCAGGAGCAGGAGAATGGTCAGACAAAGCCAGGGATCAGGAGCAGGAGAATGGTCAGACAAAGCCAGTGGGATCAGGAGCAGGAGAATGGTCAGACAAAGCCAGGGATCAGGAGCAGGAGAATGGTCAGACAAAGCCAGGGATCAGGAGCAGGAGAATGGTCAGACAAAGCCAGGGATCCAGATCAGGCAGGGTCAGCAACAAGACAGGAACAGGAACAGGATGCAGGAACAAGATACAGGGCCCAGGAAAAACACACACCAAGGCCGAGTCTGCAGGTCTGGCCATCCCTTAAATACACCAGTATAAGCAGTTTCAGGTGTTTAGCTGGCTGCAAGGTTGAGTCTCTGATTGCTGGGAGCACCCGCTGGCCAGCCCTGGTACTACAGCCCATAAGGCAGGTGAGTCCCACCATTGCTGGCCAGTCCATTCCTGACACCCACCGATAGCAAAATGACTGCAAAATGCATCCAGTGCATCCAAGTTAGCCAACTGCACAAAGAATGGCAACCGTCCCAACCTATAACCAGCCTTAGCAGT